TTAAATTTAATTCAAACAACTTTTTCAAAATTAATTATGATTAAAAAAATATATCAAAAATAAATCAAATTTAGTTATAACTTTCGCGTAGTAGTGGACACGTTGACGAGTCCTTGACCAATCAGCCCAAGCGGGGCCCGCCATCTGTAACTTACGCTACTCTTGTGGCCCTAATCTATTCATATTCCTTCACAGTTTTATCCATATTTTTCACTTTTGCTCTCCAAAGTTGAGATATTGCTGCTCGCTCACTGTTATATTTCCTGCTCGAGCGCATGAATACGTCGTCGTTCCTGCAATTCCAGGTTCTCCTTTTTCCCCTTCACCTGTTATATTTCTTGTTGGTTTGATTCAGTCGCGTTTTTTAGTCAAAAAAATTGAACATTTTTGCTATTTAGTCCCGTGATTTTAAAATTCAAAACAATTTCAGTCGTTTGGGACTGAAAATGCAACAAAACTTCTTAGTAATTTAAGTCTGTAATTTTAAATTTTCGAACTGAAATTGCAGCAAAATATTAAATTACTGAATCAAAAGACAAAAAGTTAAAATATTGGGACTAAAAATGGTACCGGCAGGACAAAAAATGCAATTTTACGGATGTATGATTATGGGTTTTGGAAATTCAGAAAGACCCGAGGTGATTGATTTTGTAATATCACATTAGTTTGAACGAAATAGATGCAAAACAACATGATTTAATACCAGCAATTGAGATGAATGGTAGTTAAACCTGTGAGTGAACCTTTTCAGTTTTCACAGAGCTGTTCAGGTAGAAAATGATTATCAAGAACATTTTCGGGCGATACGAGAGGTGGAACCCCGTGCACCCCACTCGTGGAGCCTTTTGGGGAATCGGGCTGGGCCTCGGTTGCGGCATTGGGTGGGGGCCCGGCTTCGGCCCGGAGGTCATCGGCTATGTCGGGGCTGGCTGTGGTGTAGGTTTCAATGTCGGCATCACATTGCTGGGCATTGGAGTCGGCCTTCCAGCCAATTACCTTTTCACGGTCCCTCACAACGGTATATTGAACATTTCATAATTGTCGTTTTATCTTCCGGCCAGGCGGCGAGTATTTGCGTGAAGCCGTGAACTGTATACTTCTTCTTTTCTTGTCAGTTTTTATGGTTACAAGGAGAGGTGTATTGGGCATTGCTCAAGCTGGGCTTGGCAGCAGAAGTATTGAAGGAGATGGATGGGACAAAAATATTTGGCAAGTCTCTGATTTACCACATAATCTACGTGCATCGTTTTCAGGCTTCAAAATCGATGGTCTGAGAGAAAACATGAGAGATTTGTCTGACGTGCGAACTATGTTGATCTCCAATGTCGAGCAGATTACAGGTTGTTTACAAAGAGCCGGCAGGCGCTTGTTCGATACGGATAAAGGTATGTATTCCAACATGATACTATTTCCTATGCTTAGAAACTTGGACTGAATGGCCATAAAAGAAAGTGGTATTTTGTGCTATCATTGAAAATTCTGGTTATTCTCTTTGTCACCTTTTCGATTTTATTTTGGTTGAAGCTAAAGCCATTTTTAAGGTTAAAGTGGTTGTTAGTTTTGGTTCTGCCAAAGGGCTTAGACTCAATGATGATCTTGGCTCAGACTTTAGCAACTGTACTTTAGAAATTAGTATCTGCGCATATAGGTTAATTCATCAGTTATGAAGAGACCACCGTGACCAACAGACGTGACGATTTGCAAATGGAAGAATTGCCCGCATTTCATATGCGTGCATAGCACTAATAAGACGTGCAAATGAAAACAATGTAAACCGTTTTTATCAGATTATTGTTGGAGCTGACAAGTGAAAGGTGACTCTTAAGACTAGAAAAGACCTTGAGATTGTTCAACTTCGCGTTAGTTATAAAATTTCGTGTCTGGCCATGTATGTGTACGAACTTCACTGCCTCAGACTCCATTAATTCTGTCTTGCAGATACGAAAAGTTGAGCAGACGACCATTGAAGGCGACATGCTCCATGACTAGGATGCCTTTGCATGTTGTGTCAGGTTTTGAATCCTGACGTTATTGAAAAGGCTGTACCCAATCGTGCTGCAATTACAAAAGAAGGATGCATTCGATAAGTTTTGCCCCTCAGCCCATGTTGATGCAGACGAACTTTTTTTTTTCCCCTAAATGTTAACATAATTTTTTCCCCCCCATTTTCGCCTCTTGAATGGAGATAACACTTCCGACTGAGCCGATTTCTGTAACATTTGAGATCACAACTACAATTTATTAATGGCCATTTGAAAATATGATCTTTTCAGAGTTTATATGTTTTCAATCAAATCATAGCTCAAAAAGCATTTTCAAGCTTATTTTCATCCTCAAAAGTTCGATATTACCATCATTCATGCGTATAACTTACTATCTGGCGTACGCAACACCTTAATGAAATGCCGCATGCAATCCCACAATTGAGAGATATACGAGTCCATAGACATGAAGACAAGGGAAATCAGACCAACTCCCAAGAAAAGAGAGCAAACACACATTACCTCATAGTCATATGTATATGTAGCTTGAAGACTGGAAGAAGATGACACTTACTCAATGGAATGAATTCGGAGAATAACAATTATTCAGGAGGAGACCTAACTCAAATACAACAGAGTTCACTTAAAGAAAAATACATCCGAACATCGAGACAACAACTATCATAGTACATGAAGTGTCACACAAACATGCCAGTCCTCAAGACACAACATCAATCAGCAAGCAGCAGTCACTGATTGGTTTTATTGCTACAATCATCTTCCTTCAGTTATCTGCACGATTAAACCATCAAATTTACAAATAGTATCCAAACTTTCGTAATTTCATGCTATTGTAGAGTATCTTAGTCTTGCTACAACCATATGATAATACCAGGATGTCAGTACATATCCTTTCATTTTCTGTTTTCGCTGTCAGAGAACAGCAAGAAGCAAGATTTTGCAATAAGAATGAACTTCTACGCTGATGGATATGAAATTGGAACAATAAAATTTGATATGACGTAAAAATAGTTTAAATATTGCTCGATTACAATCGCTGGTTGGAAATGTAAGTAGGTGAGCAAGGGAATTCAATTTTCTGTCTTTGTTTTTTATTTGATTGGCAATGGAAAAAGATGAAACTATGTGAGTAGTACATATTTTCAAGAATTGGAATGAACAACCGCATGTTCTGGTAAAAGTGATTTCCATCGTGGACAAAAATGAAAAGTTTCTAAAATCGAAAGATTCGAACCAATAGTCAATCTCAACTTACCCCACTGGAATCCACTTTTATTACTCACCATTGGGGGATTTACCACCCCTCGAAGAAAAATCATAAGATGCCCTTGGGATCGAGATGGACAACTGGGTGGAGGAGAAAACATTCTTGTTTGACCCGTCTTCATCAACATCGAGACTGGACCATGATTCCTTAGTCATTGGCCACTCGCTAAAGAAAGGATGCACCGCGTGTTGCTCATGCTGTCTAGACATGGTGGCACTTATGGGCTCAAAAGCATGGGCCATGTTTCGTGGGGTTGAGGACAAGCCTAACAACTGGGCATCTGGTTTCTGTTTCAGCAGGGAGCTCGAGGAGACTTGAGTGGGCATGAGCCGCCACGTGGCGCCTCCTGAGTTGCAGCTCAAATCCAGTGCGGAAGCTTCTGATGAGAAACTTTGATCATCGGGATCGGGAGTCAGTCCCTGAATATTATACCTGTGTATTATTTAACTTAAGTTAGCAAGTGTCTGGGTCATCGTTAGAAAACTTCTTCCCCAAAAACTGCTAGAATGATGTGCACGAGACAAGAAGCACAAACAACTTTCCTTGGTTATTATAAGTAAATGTGGTATTCTAAAATGTGAAATGTCAATCTGCCTCTAAGCAGAAGAAACCGATTGTGTGGAGATGGCTTTCTCTACACTTCATATTAGTATGAAAATCTGTAACTTTCTAATTTTCATACAAAATCGGTTCGAAGGAAAAATTAAAAGATAAGAACTTGATTTCAAAGTTGGCTTGCCTAAGGTAGCCATAAAGGATCCATCAGAAAAAAAAAA